CTCCAAGTCTCTGCAACTCTTCCTTTAATTCAGTGAGCTATCTGAGAATTCTGCCACGAAACCCCCTTTTCTGCTTAAACTAGTTGGAGTTGGGTTCCTGTCACTTGCCAGTAACAGTCTTGAAAAATTTCTCTGCAGCCTCTCTCCGTGCCATGTCCCACTTTTCAGTTTTATGCCCTCATAATTGCTTCCGGTTCCCACACATCCACCACACAGTCCTGATTCTCTGCCTCTGCTCACACAGCTTCCCCTCCCTGGTGCTTCCTTAACACCGTCATTCTGCTAATTCTTGCTGTACTGGGAAGGGACCAAAAGCCAGGCCCTGGTCTGTGTCAATCCCAGTGAATTTAAAGATAGTGAAGAGTCCTCTGGTAGAGAGCCCTGGGCACCACATCACCTGATGATCACTCCCATGGCTGCCTCCAGACAGCGCCCCTGGTCAGTATCTGCCCCGTTAACCCTTAGAGAGAAGCAGAATTGAGTGCAGGTGGTCCCCTTAGGTTGCGATCTATCAGCCCTGAAGGTTTAGCAAGGTTGGAGGAGGTTGGGATGACCCAATAGAGAGTACAAGTTTGGCACTTCTACCTCTATTATCCGTATCCCTTAGCTTTCCTTTTATATTTTCTTACAGTTACATCACCTAGAGAGGTTTTGTTTGTTTTATTGCTGCCTGGGTCCTACCCCCATAGATTCTGCTATAATATATCTGAATACATTGTGGGCACTTGGATTCTTAAAAGCTCCCAAGTAGTCCTTATGTGTAGCTGAAGTTAAGAACCGCTGCTCTAGGGTGCTGGATCAGTCTGAACCTGTTTTCATGGATAAGCAATCTGGGCTGTTACCATCAATTTCTGCAATGAAGAGACAGGCAATGATTGCCCTAAGGCAGAGTTTTCATCCAGAGGAGGCATTGGGAAGTCTTCTCTCCTCTTGTTTTATTTTTTTTGAAGAGTTTGTGAAGGACTAGTGTCAATTCTTTGAACATTTGGTAGAGTTCACCAGTGAAGCCATCCGGGTCTGGGCTTTGTGGGAAACTTTTTTATTACTAATTCAATCTCTTGTTATAGGTCTATTCAGATTTTCTATTTATTCTTGAGTCCATTTTGGTAGTTCGTGTATTTCTAGGAATTTGTCCCTTTCATCTAGGTGATCTAATTTGTTGGCATACAGTTGTTCATGGTATTCCCTTATGATCCTTTTTATTTCTGTAAGGTTGGTAGTGATGTTCCCTTTCTCATTCCTAATCTTAGTAATTTGAGTTTCCTCTCTTTTTTTTTTACTTGGTCACTCTAGTTAAAAGTTGGTCAATTTTGTTTAATGAACCAACTTTGTTTTGTTGATTTTTCTCTATTTTTCTATTTTTCAGTTCACTCTGCTCTAACCTTTATTATTTCTTTCCTTCTACTTGTTTTGGTTTAGTTTGCTCTTCTTTTTTCTAGTTTCTTAAGGTAGAAGTTTAGGCTGTTAATTTGAGATCTATTTTTTTTAATTAATAAACTTTATTTTTTAGAGCAGTTTTAGGTTCACAACAGAGTTGAGCAGAAAGTACAGAGAGTTCCCATTTACACTCTGTCGCCACACAAGCACAGCCTCCCTGACTATAGAATGGTACATTTGTTACAATCCATGAACTTACATTGACACATCATTATCACCCAAAGCCCATAGTTTACCTTAGAGTTTACTTTTGTTGTTGTACATTCTATGGGTTTTGACGATGTATCCACCATTACAGTATCACACAGAATAGTTTCACTACCCTAAAAATCCTTTGTGCTCTGCCTTTTCATGCTGCCCTTCCTCCTAAGCCCTGACAACCACTGATCTTTTTACTGCCTCCCGTTTTCCTTTTCCAGAATGTCATATAGTTACAGTCATACGGTATGTAGCCTTTTCACATTGGCTTCTTTCACTTAGTAATACGCATTTAAGTTTCCTCCGTGTGTTTTTCATGCCTTGATAGCTCAATGTTTTTAGCACTGAATAATATTCCATTGTCTGAACTTTTTAAATATAAGTATTTACAGCTATAAATTTTCATCTGAGCATGCTTTCATTTCTTGTCAAAGTTTTGGTATGTTGTGGGAAGTACTGTTTGTATAGAAAGGCAGGAATAAATGCTTGCTTCCTTCCATTTATTTACAAGTTTTGAAAATAGTGAGTAGGTTCCCTAGTGTGCCAGTTATGGATTATTGCCTTTCAGTTCCAAATTTATCCTTTTTGCCTGCTCTTTGAAATGGATTTGGGCCCTTTTAATATTTATCCTTTACCAGCTGGCAGGTATTAAGCTCTGTTGGGAGAGGACACCCGAGAGACATTGCAGGAGGAAAGGGGTTGGTTTCCTGTTTCTAGTGTTTCGGTTAGGCAGGCTTCTGTGCTGTGGGCAGCTTCTCCAGTGTCTGGCTCCCGCAATGCACAAGGCTTCTTCAGCACCTGGCTTTTTCATTGTATGGTGGCCAGGAGCCAGAAACGTCTCCTGGCACCCCCCTCAGGTGGTTTGTGGTAGAGTGCCTCTTGTGAGATACCTCCCTGTGAATGGCTTTCCCTAGCACACTACAATGTAGACTTCTGGCATCTTCCACCAGTACAGCACCACAGTGGCTTCCCTGCCATCTAGTGAGCCACAGGCACGTCCTCTCTAGCAAGGTCTGCACCTCTGCTCTGGGGTGATCTTCATTGGATACTTTATCTCAACCCTAGAGGTAGTGGCTGTTCCTTATGTCACTCATCCTGTGTTTTAGAGTTCTCTCAATCTCTTATTACTCCAATCTCCTGTTATAGTTAATAAGTCTTTAAATAAATAAAACCTTCCCTGTACAAATTACTGTATGGTTTCTCTCTCCTGATTGGACCCAGACTGATACATCTAGTAATTTCTCAAGGTGACAATAAGGTTTGTTTGATGATCTGTCAAAATTAAAGATTTCTGTTCAATAAAGGACAAAATTAATAGTCTTCATGGAATAGAAGACAATTGAAATGTCTAAAACTGAGAAGGAATTGATATCTACGATATACAAGAAACCATCAGCAAGAAAAGTAGACCAGCCTCAATAGAAAAACGGGCAATGGATGTGAATAAGCAATTTAAAAAGAGGAAACTCAAAAGTTCATTAAGAAACGTTCAGATTCATTAGTAATCAGAGAAATGCAAATTGAAACAATGAGATATCACATCATCCCTGTTGGTTTGGAAAAAGTTTGGAAGCTGGATAATGATTTTATCTCATGTCAACTTAAAAAGCAAATTTGCCTGTTATTTTATCCTCAAAATTAGTTTATTCCGGAATAGCCAAAAAAACTGCAATTCGGGGTGTGCACGCTATGGCAAACCATAGGCAAATCTAGAAAACAAAGGAGGGGAGCTGCCTTTATAGAGAAAAAGGGGGATGAGGGAGCTGCTCTTCTAAGGGAAAGTCCATTAGGAAAAGTTCAGCGCAGCAACAGCTTCTCATTGGCTGAGCTGTGGCATTTCTCATTGGCTGGGCTGTTGCAGGGTGGGGAGAGAAATCCTCCTTCAGTAGTAAAGTAGTTTTACTTCCTGTCCAAGATGCAAGAATGTTTCTCTTCCTGGTTGGTGTAATTGACAAAGTATGATAGGGCATGAGAGCTCCCCCTACAAGCCTTTCCAACTCCAATTTAGTTAAGGTTTCTTTTATTAATTTCCACACTTAAACATACCTCAGATCTGTCTCTTCTCTCCATCACATTTTGCTGTCACTCTAGTGCAAGGTCACCATCATCTTCTGCATGAGTGCAATACAAGAGTGTAATTTGTCTGCCCACTTCTATTCTTGTTCCCCCACAATGCACTCTTCCCCTGGGAGCAAGAGAAATATTTAAGTGTAAATCAGATACCTCTCCTTTGCTTAGAACCTTTCAACAACTTCCTATTGCTCTTGGAATAAAATCCATTCTCACCGCCTGCAGGTGATCTGCATGATCTCCTTACCTACCGCTCCAATTTCACGCTGTGCCACTCTCCTTGCTCACTATTCTCCAGCAAATATTTCAATACCTTGAACACTTCAAGCTCTTTCCTTCCTCATAGCCTTTGCACATGCTTTTCCCTCTGAATCTTTACATAGCTTGCTCCTTCTCATCTTTCGTTCTACTCAAGGAAGCCTGGCCATCTTTTCTGGAGCAGATCCTAGTAAGTCTCTGTCACTGTAACCCTGCTTCTTTCTTTCATAACACTAACATACTTTGTAATTATTTTACAAACTATTAATTTGTAAATATAAATTACTTAATTTATATCTCCTACTAGACAATGCACTTCATGAGGGCAGGGACCATGTTTGTCTTTTTCCCTATGAACCTCCAGCACTTAAAGCAACGCCTAAGACAGAGGATGCATTAAAACATACGTGAATGAATGAATCTATTCCTGTTCTTGGGGAAGCCTGGACCAGTGAACTACTTTACAAATGCAGATACTTCACACTTAAACGTTGTGTTCTATTTAGTAACACAACAACAAAACAAAAACTCCACACATTCGTTTAAAATTTTGTACTTTAAAACTTAGTGCCTCCAAACTTCCCACCTCATGTTCAGTGTCCATCTGTGTTTGTTTTATTGTCATCTGCCCGTTCAAGTCCTTTTCTAATATATGGCTTATCGTTTTCTAACCGATTTGTAAGAGCTCTTTGTATATTACCCCTGAATCGTTTGTTTTGCACATATTTTTTCCCAGTTTGCCTTTTGACTACCTAGGTGGGTTTTGTTTCTTTTTTTTTAAACCCCAAGCCTGAACTACTCTAGGAAGGCGATAATGTCAGAAGACGAGGTGAAGTTTGTTGGGTGGCAGGGCAAAAGGACAAGGTAGCAGGAGAGGACAGTGACCCTCAAAGAGGAAAACAATGATTACGCAAGTCCGTGTTCGTCCTGTCCCCCTCTCTCCCTCGCGATCCTTGCCACCGACAGCCACTAGTCTCCTCCTTCAGCCCGGCGCCTGGCGCGTCTGTCTGACGTCACGGACGCACTGCACAGTTGACTCAGGCCGCGCAACCTCCGTGGCGCGTCTACGGGGCGCGCACTTGCGAATGTTCTCGCGGCGCCGGAAGTCCGGGGCACGTGACCGGGTGACAGCGCTCGTTGGGCTGCAGGCCTCGCTTTAGGTGTTGCGGCACGGGATGGCGGAGGCGCCTCCTGTCTCAGGTACTGTCCTGGCCCGCGCGGGATTGGGCCCCTCGCAGGGAGCGGAAATTGGGTCCGTGACGAGTCCTAGGGCCCCGGCCATTCATATCGCGAGAGTGGCGCATTCTAGGGCTGGGGATAGTGGCTCGGAAGGGCCAAGCCACGCGCGTCGTGCATACCGAGATCGCGACCATCCCCGACTGGGTCGTGAAGCCCCGCGGCTGGGTTTCTAAGGAGAGCGTGTTTGTCCCCGCCCCTCCAGGGCTCGTCCCGGCCCTGCTGGGGCAGCGGCCGCTCTGATCTGGGACAGGCGGGCGTCGGCCGGGTCGCTGCCCGTGACGGTGTCTGGCTCCCGACGCGTGGCGGGCGTGCGCGCTGTGCTGGAGGTGTATTCGGGCCTCTCGGGGCAGCGGCGCGGGCGCCGTGGTTTCCAGCCTTAGCCTGCCACAAGCTCGCGGTGTGACCGAGTCTCATTTTCCTCGTGTCAGTTAGCAGTAAAGAAGTTAGTTCCTGCGAACGCTCCCGCCCTGTGCTGTACCTGTTCCATAATTGTTAGCTCACTTCCCCTCCCGGGGCTGACTGTGTGTAGAGACAGCCTCATTTGGCTGTTAATATAACATCCATTTCCATTTCCTTCAGGGTGCACCTGAGATCTTTGTTTTCCAAACTTTTTGGACAGCGACCAAAAAGGAACATTTTACATCACGACCTCAGTGTACACGTGCATACATATAAAAGCGAACCAAAAGTTTCAGGAGGCCGTGGTTTTCCTTACTGTCTGCAGAACGCTCTATTTTCTATTTTGTTTGAAAAAATACTTGTCACAGCCCACCACATTGGTTTGATTTCAGGACCCACTCTTTCTGAAAAACAGGGCAGCAATCTGCAGCATGAGGTTTGTAAACAGTCATTGATTTGAGTCTTAGTTCTGCTACCTCCTAGCTGTTGGAGCACCAAGAAGAGTATATAAGTATTTGTGTACTGGGTGGAAGGTAAAATGTTTTTATTGTGAGTTTCATTCAAAACAGTTGGAAAACACACTGCATTGGTGTACCCTAGTCCTGACTTAGGTATTAAGTCATGTTGGGGGGTGGGAACCTTTTGAGGCTGGTGTTTTGTTATTCTCCCTCTCATTCTTTTCCCAGATCCTCTAAATTGGATCCGTTGGTCTCCCCATCCTCAGGCTCACCTCTGGCCCATTTGTACACCCTTCAGTTGGGTGGGGCTAGTTGTGAGTCATGAGTCATAGTTTAGGCCTCTGGAGTTTTCCCCAGGTTATAATCTCTTCCCCATCTACTGAAGCAAAGTCCCCTAGTCCAGTGACCTCCCTACTGCCTCTCATGTGCCTTAGTTTGCTTTTGCCTTAATTCCTGTTCCATGTTCTTACTTCAGCATTATCTCTAGTCCACACCTCCATCCCCACTCAAGGTTTAGTTCTTTTGCCCGCTCCTGTCCTCAAACAGAGCCCAGTCCAGGATTATCTTTCTGCCCGTGGGCAGACTCTCCGCTGCCAACTTTGTCTCTGGACTTCATAATCTACAGTTGGATTCCCCCTTACTCTGCTCCACCAACCTGTTGGACACCTACTGTGCTGCCTTGTTACCTTGGATCTAGGATACCACTTGTACTATAGCCAACCCTTGGTGATGAGACATCCTATTTACTGAGTAACTTCCAGCTACTTAAAATAGTGAAAAAAAAGGTGTCTCAGATCTTTGTGTCCGAGGTCCAGTTTCCTGCTTCATGTGCCCTTTTTCCCTTCCTCACGTCTCTTAAGTGTCTTTCTTAGGGCTTTGCCTACTTCCTCACGTCTAGTGGAACATACACTGTGTATGAACAGGTGCTGCCTATCTGGACTCTGTAGTTGGATCAACTCCTTACTGCTTAACATGAAACACCCTCTTCCCATCCTTTCCCAGGCTATTCTGGAGAACTTTACTGACCTTTTTTCTACCTCTCTCTCCAACCTTGCTTCTTCAAGCATAAGAGGACTACACAACACCGGCTTGGTCTGATCTGCCCATTCCCACCCTTAAGTTATCTTTTATGTTTCTGGAACACCTTCTCTGCCATCTTTTGAATTTGTCTAATCCTCTTGCCATTTTGTAAGCCCCTCCACCCCATCCCCAGAATTCTGCCCGTGTGAAAGCTTTCAGGACAAACGCTGGGTTGAGTGAGAGGTTACCCTATGACCTTTATGATCTTGTTCAGTTCTTAAGTATATGTACCGCTGCCCAACCTCTGAAAGTGTAGCATAGTGTAAGAGCATGTTCTCGAGGCCCACATAGCCTGGGGTGGAAACCTGAATCTGCTTTGGAATATCCCTGTGGCCTTGGGCAAGCTGTTTACTCTCTGTCTCAGTTTTCTCATCAGAAATGTAAGGATTAAGGGAGTTAACACATGCAAAGTGCTTAGAATAGTGCCTGGCACATATTCAGTACCTAATAAATGTTAGGGCTTATTGTTAAACCTGAAACCCACAGGCTCTGCGCTGCACCCATCTGTGGTCGGGTCTGCATGTTTCAGATAGTTTGTAGTCCTAACAGCAATAATAAAGCACCATTTTAACCGCTTTACACATGTTACTAACTTGCTGTACTCTTCAAAGCAACTCTTTGATGTAGGGATTGTTACCATCTCCAATACATATAAGAAAACTGAGATTCAGTAACTTCCATAAAGACACAATAAGTGATGGGCAGGGACTTACACCAGTGTCTTCCACGCCCTGTTGATTCATAGTATATTCTATTTGCTACATCTAGTTCTGACTTTGCTGCTAACTAGTTTTGTGTTCATAGGCAAATCCTTTCATCTTTGGCCTGTAGGGACTGAGTTGCCTACACAAAGAAGCATCTGCGGGGAAAAAATTAGTGGGTTGAAGGGGCATATGCTTAATTTTCGAGACTGTGGGATTCTGGACCATATTATAGCAGTTATGTGTGGAAAAACTAAAATATTTTCCTGAGGGGAAGAGATAGAAACTAATGTACTCACTACACTAAGCACTAGATGAAATCTTACTTAAATTTCTCAATAACCCTTGGAATAGTATTATCATCTTCTGTCATGGATGAGGAAACCAAGGCTAAAAAGCAATCAAGGGTCATCCCTAAGCTCATACTGAAAGTTGGAGGGCCGGACTTTAAAGTGCTTTTGGCTGACTCCAAAGCCTGTTGACTTGCTGTTACACAATGCTACCTTAGAGTTTTGAAAGACCACATGGAACCTGCTGATTGATGTCTCACCCCTGAACTGTTGGCTGACCTTAAATTTTTTGATAAAGTAAATGCATGTATAAATAATGCCTGGTGGCCCAGGTGAGCACCTTACTTAGCAACTCTCAGCAGTGGCTCTTGGTGAGGCTCCTTCCTGGACATGGGATGATCAGTCTCCCACAGGCACCTTGAACCCATCACTTTCACAGGAAACATAGGCCTTACTAAGAGTCTGTTTTATATGAAGTCCTTAGGAAAATGGCTTTCAGATATGGCTTAGAGTCTTCTGGGCTTCCTGGCTGACTGATTAATTTCTTTACTGGCATGTCTATTTCTTATGTCCTAGGTACTTTTACATTCAGTACGGACGCTGCTGAGTTCATTCCTCAGGAGAGAAAAAATTCTGGTCTAAATTGTGGGAGTCAAAGGAGACTAGACTCTAATAGGATTGGTAGAAGAAATTACAGTTCACCACCTCCCTGTCAGCTTTCCAGGCAGATCCCTTATGATGACATCTCTGCTGTTCATCAGCACAGTTATCATCCTTCAGGAAGCAAACCTAAGAGTCAGCAGACTTCTCTCCAGTCCTCTGCTTCTCATAAATCACTCAAGAGCCATGGCCTTCAGAGTCAACCCTGGCAGAAGGTGAAGAGTGAAAAGCAGCATGTCAGAGTCAAGAGAGCACAGAGTCTCACTGAGCAGGCCTCAGATGCAGCCAGCCTAGAGAGCGTGGCCGGGTCAGAGAGTGGGACAAACCCCAGAGAGCACAGCCCTGCTGAGAGTGAGAAGGAAATTGTTGGCGCAGATCCCAGGGGAGCAAAACCCAAAAAAGCAACCCAATTTGTATACAGCCATGGTAGAGGACCAAAAGTGAAGGGGAAACTCAAAGGTGAGTGGGGTAACAGAATGACTCCAAAACCCGAGGATAGCGGACCTGAGAATACCAAACCCGTGGGGGTCAGCCCCCCTGACTCTTCGGATACATCCGTTAGAAAAGGAGTATTGGACGGGTATGGGGCCAGACGCAACGAGCAGAGAAGATACCCACAGAAGAGGCCTCCTTGGGAAGTGGAGGGAGCCAGGCCACGACCAGGCAGGAATCCACCAAAACAAGACGGCCAGCGACATACAAATGCAGGACCCAGAAACAGCATGGCCCCCATTCCAAAGGATAATCTCAACGAAAGACCAGCAAAATCTGCCTGTGACAATGGGAACTTGGCAGTCGTCAGGAAGTCTTCCAGAAGGGTTGACCGGGAGAAATGCACTGTAAGGAGGCAGGAGCCTCAAGTAGCATCTTTCCCCCGAGGCAAACAGAACCACGTGCTGAAGAACGTGGAAACGCACACAGGTAAGTCTACTAGATGGGTGGGAATGTTTTATTTTGGTTTTTTGATTTTAATTTTTGAATAGGTAATATATTCACACAATTTCGAAACCCTTTAGAAAGTATAAAAAGGTACAGAGTGAGTGAACGGTCTTTTTCTATCCTGTTCATCGACTTCCTGGGTCCTGCCACCACCTGCTCCCCTCCCCAGTTGGTAACCACTTACTTAGTTTTTATGTATCATAAGCAAATACAAAGAAGGAATTTTTCTCTTAACAAATAAGAAATTTAGTAAGAGTTTTAAAAAATGCAGATATGTGTTTTGTGGATGTTTGGTTACAAGAATTTTTTTGAATTGTGAAAGCCCGAGTAGGGGATGGTAACATCTCCACTGCCCCTCCTGGTGCCAGCCTGCATCATCTCTTGTCTGCTCATCTGCAGGAGTTCTAACTAGTCTTGCCATCTCCAGTTTCTCTCTCTCAGTTCACCTCTTACACCAGCATCAGGGAGCAATCTTTCTAAAACACATACTGAACTGTGTCACTCCCTTGCTTAATCCTGTTCACTTTTTCTCGTCACCTGCAGATTCTGGCTTCTGCCTTACCCAACAACCCCATCTTCTGCTGCCTCAATCCCCAGCACATTTTATTCCCTGGACGCTATATGGTTTTGTCTTTCCATACTGTTGCTTCTGTGGCTCGCTCTGTCTTCAATGTCTACCACTCAGCTCTCTGGGGCATTCTTACTCATTTTTCAAAGGCTAGTTTACTTGCATGTCCAGGAAACCTTTTCTCACCTCTACAGATAGCATTGCTCTTTTCCAGCCCTGTGCTATGTCTTTTCCTTACATATATGTACTTCTATTATAGCACCTACCACTGGAAACCATCATGTGTTATGTGTTAGTGCCCTCTGCTAGTCTGTAAGCTCCTTGAAAGCAGAGATATTATCTTTCTTTTCATTTTTGTATCCCTGTTGCCTAACACAGCTCTTACGAAATAGTAGGTACTCAGCTCTGACTGATAGAAAGTTCTTCCTCACGTTGAACTGAAAACTTCTTTCCTGTAAATACTTTCTGTCCCCTGGTTCAAGTTCTGTTCTCTGGAGCAACACAGCAACTAGTCCCTCTCCTCACAGTTTCCCTCCCCCTCCTTGCAAATCTGCTTTTTGCAGTGTTTGAAGACACTTCTCATTTTGCCCTGAGTATATATTTCATCTAGGCTAAATAGCTTCAATCCACTAGCTCTTCTTCCTGGATCTTCGCCACTCTCGTCTCCCTCTAGTTTAGTGTGACATACAGCCTCACCCATGAAGCCGCCACCTGCCGGGGCCTGTTTTTATGTTGGCCTATGGTTCTCCTAGTCCTCATTGGCTTCACCTTTTTCTTGGGACCTCAACTTGTGTGTAAACCAAAGCCATGTTTTTCAGAGTTGTTTTTTAATTCTTAAGGCTGGTTAATAGTTTCCTATTGTTTCATAACAAATTACCACAATTGTAGTGGCTTAAGATAATGCAGATTTATGATGTCACAGTTTCTGTGGTCAGGAGTCTGGGTACAGGTTAGCTGAGTTCTCTGCTCAGGGTCTCGCAGGATGAAATTCAGCCAGGGATACAATCTCTTCTGAGGCATGGGGTCCTCTTTCATGCTCACTGGTTGTTCGTAGGATTTAGTTCCTTATGGGTATAGGATTGAGGTCCCCATTTTCTTGCTGGCTGTTGGCTGAGGGGTCACCCTCAGCTCCTAGAGTCCACCTGCACTTCTCCACCACGTGGCCCTCTCCACCACGTGGTGGTTTGCTTCTTCAAGGCCTAGAGGAAAGCATCTGCTACAGATTCTTCAAATCTCTCTGACTCGTTTAAAAGGGCTCACCTGATTAGATTAGGCCCACCCGTACTAAAGGGGAGGAGATTATACAGAATGTGTACACCAGGGGGTGGGCATCTGGAGGCTATCTTAAAGTTCTGCCTAACAAATCTCTCTTGGCCTCGCATCCCCACATATTCTGGAGAACACTTTATTCATATTTATTGAGTAAATACTATGTGCCAAGCACTGTTCTAGGTACTGGGAATACAGCACTGATGGGATTTATATTCTGGTAGGGAAGACAGGCAGAAAGCACTTAAACAAATATTTAATATGTCAGGTGATAAGGGCTAAAAAGTAATATAAAGCAAGTTAAGAGGACAGAGGAACAGGGGTGCTAGTTTAGATAGGTTGGTCTCTTTGATGAGGAGGTATTTGAACAGAGACTGGAAGGAAGTGCAGAAGCGCACCATGTGGCTCTCTGGGGAAGAGCATTCCAGACAGAGGGAGAAGCAAGTTTAGATTGGAATCCGAGGGGGGCCTTGAGAGCAATGAGGAGGCCGGTAGGAGAGGAGGTCAGAGAAATAGCAGGGCCTGGATCATGTGGCCCTTAGATTTGGTTCTAAGAAGATGAGAAGCAGCTGGAAGGTTTGGGGAAAGGGTTGGCGTGATCTTACTAACATTCTAAAACAACCAGCCTGCTGCGTAGAGAATAGGCTCTAAGGAAGCAAGGGGACAAGTTAGGAGGCTGTTGTAGTAATTCAGGTAGTTGATGATGGAGACCTGGACTAGGGGAGTAGTGGTGGGAGAGGTGAGACTCAGACTTTGGATGTATTTGGGAGGTGAAACTGACAGGATTTGCAAATAAACTGGATGTTGGATGCACGAGAATGAGAGGAGTCAGGGATGCAGGCAGGGCTTTCGTGCCTCAGCAGTGTAGAACAATAGAATTGCCATGTACCGAAGTGGTAAAGCCTGGGAGAGGACAGGGTGTTGTTTGTTTTTAAAACTGTCTAGTTTGGAATAATTTTAGATTTGTGGAAAAGTTGCGAAGACAGTACAGAAGACAGAGAATTCCCATATATGCTTCACCCAGCTTTCTCTAATGTTAACATCTTTCATAACCAACTCTGATCCTTTGTCAAAACTAAGAAATTAATATTGGTACAATAGTATTAACTAACTGCAGGCTTTATTTGGATTTCACTAGTTTTTCCACTAACGTCCTTTTTCTGTTCTAGGATACCACGTTGCATTTAGTATCATGTCTCCTTAGTCTCCTCTGATCTGTGACTGTTTCTTAGTCTTTCCTTGTTGGAAAAGTGGTTTTTGCGTGTGTTTTGCTTTATCTACTCCTTGTTTAGGAAAAATAAAGAATTTGGTTAAATTTTTAGTTGCCTATTAGACTTCCAAATAGGTATGTTAAGTAGGGAGTTGGATATAGAGTTCAGGGAAGAGATCTGGCCTAGAGATTTAAATTTGGGAATTGTCAGTATAAAGACGGTGTTTAATGGACTAGAGGAGGTCACCTAAGGTGGGGGTGTAGTTAGAGAAGAAGAGTTTGAGGATGGAGCCTTCCTATACCTGAATGGGTCAAGGTTCGAAGATGGAGATCCAGCAAAGAAAATGGAGAATGAATAGTAATTGAACTAGGAAGAGAAACATGTTCTACATGCCAAATAAAAAGAAAGAATTGAAGGAGGAGGGAGTGATCAGTTGTGCCAGATGCTACCGATAGGTCCAGAAAGATGAGAACTGCGTGTCGACCATTGGATTTGGCAGTGTGAGGGTCATGGATCTTGGTAAGAACAGTGTTAGTGAAGTGGTAGAGATGGAAGTCTGATTGAAGTGGAAAGAGAGGATCAGCCCAGTTATACGTCTCCATGGCTGTTGGAGAGTGGGCTCTGCTTACTCCCATTCTGTGCTGAGAGCATCTGGCACTGCCCTGTTCTCCCAGACTGTCTGGACCCTCATTCTGTGGACACAAAATCCCCTCTATACTTATCTGCTTCTGCTTTGCTCCTGCTCTTAGTTGACCTGTGTTCTCTGTGACCTCTGTGACCTTAGTTCTCTCAGTTCACCACTTTGCTTACAGCCTCTCACAGCCTGCTCTTTTCTCTTCTCCTACTTACCTTAGTTTCTGGAGGATGAGAAGAGCTCACTCCTTCTTCCCCAGTGTCATTCCTAACCATTATTCTTCTACTTTTGTATCAAAATCCCTGCTCATTTGAACCTAATGCTCATCACCTTCCATGTTTCCTTCTCTTTATCACCTGTTAGCCTCCAGATCTCCCAGTCCCAGCCCTCATTTATTAATGCACCTAGCCTATATCTTTCCTCTGCCCCAGTGGTTCTGCAAGTGTAGTCCCAGACCAGTAGCCGTCAGCAACACCTGGGAACTTGTTAGAAATGCATATTCCTGGGCCTCACATCAGACTTACTAAACAAATTCTTGGAGTGGAGCCCAGCAATCTTATCTTTTAACAAACCTCCAGGTGATTCTAATGCATGCTCAAGTTTGAGAGCTACTGATTTACCTTAAATCCCGATGTTCTTCTGGGTGATCATATGGGTTGTGCCATCCTTAGGTTCTTTGATCTTGTCAACCACAGTGACCTTCATGTTCATTCCCCCTTCAAACCCACTACCGGGGAAATACCCTGGGGATGCCTCATCTCTGAAATCTTAAAGTCTTGGGTTCCACTTTCTGACCGTAACCTCTTGTCCTTCTGGCTCTCAGTCTCTTCCACCCACTACTGGCTTTGCCAGCCTCCTGCCCACCTTCATTCATTCCTCTTTAGGCTGGGTCTTATGGTAGGTCATCTGAAGTATTATCCTTTTGCCAAGCCATTGGCAGAGTCCCAGCCCTGGATTGATGCTGCAGTCTACCTTTTCTACTCCAGGGAATCGCATCATAGTACAGATTTGGTGCTGCTGCAGTTCATTCACCTTCTCAGAGAGACTTCCTTATCTCCCTGTGTAAAGCTATAATTTTTCCCCCACTGCCAACATTCCCTAATCTCTTGTCCTGGTTTATTTCTCCATATCTGTCTCCATAGCACTATCTGATGCTACATGTTTTCATTATTTATTTGTTTATTGTCTACCTTCCCCCCCTAGATAATAACCTTCATCAGGGTGGAGGGTTTCGTCTGTTTGTTCACTGTATATCCTTAGTGTCTAGACAATGTCACAGTAAGGCACACGGTAAGGTCTCAGTAAATCTTTTGAATAGTGGTCTCCAACCTCAGTCCTTCTCATTTTCATCTAAGACACTCCAAACCTTTTCTGTGCTTATTCAGACCTTAACATTCATATCCCTCAGTCTCAGCAGACCTCATTACCTCCCACTTCACTAAGAAAGGGAAGATATCAGCCATAATTTTCTCAACTTTTTGCTCCCTTTATACAAACTCAGAGACATCTGTGCCCATCCTTCCTTTTCTTTCATTCTGAGATCTCCTTTATTTCCTTCCATCAGCTTTTTCACATCTATTCCAAGTTTCAGCCTGAATAAAGATCTTCCCAAATCAGTCCTACCCTCCAACAGAGCAACTTCCCTTGTGACGTGGACTTCAGTGTGTTTCCTTTCCTTCCATTCCAGTCTAATCAAGAGTCATCCACTCTGTTTCCTTTTCTTTATTTGTTTTTATATTAAAAGTTTTACTGGGAAAAAAAGACAGTTTATTTGTTTCTTAGTAATGGCATCATTGTGGGAAGAACAAAAGAGGGTACAGGGAATCAAATCCCTTTGGGAGGAGGCTCAAGCTTCCGGGAATCCCTTGTCCTTCCTACTTTGAGCATGGGGGTGGGGGTGGGGGAGTGAAAGGAAGAAGCAGGGCGTGGTTGATAACCTAATGAGTAGACTGAGGCACTGGGAAGTAATTTCCTGCGCCTGTGGGAGGGAGGGCGGGAGGGCATGGACCCTGCCCCGAGTAAAGCCAAGGGCTCCATGGCATCCAGGCCTGGCTTCTAGTCCTTTTCCTTCCCTTTCTTGGCTTTGGCCTTGGCTTTGATCTTGAGGGTCCAGGGCTTGGTCACACGGATGGTTTCCTGGCACTGGGTCTTATACCACACCTTCTTCAGCATGTCTTGGCAGGCTCTGGTGCCTGTGCCCCCATCACACGTCCCCCAGCTTTTCCTCTGTTTTGATTCACTTTTCTCTCTTCTGCCATCATCACCACTTGACTCAGAGAGCTACTGGTAAGATCACGAATGGCTTCCTATTTGCCACATCCAGTGGACAGATGTATTTCAGCCTTTATTATCCCGGACTTCCCTCTGAGTTTGACAAAAGAGGGAGTCTTTTTGGAATGTAACTTCCTTGACTCCTTTGATCCCAAACACTTCTGGTCCTCCTTGTTCTCCTTGACTGTACCTACTTGTGTCCTTCAGGCAATTTGTGGGTCATTCAAAGTTGGCAGCTGTCATCACATCACTATATGTATGTTCATCCTAATGGTCACATTTCACTGTGACTGGATTTAGAAGCCTCACATAGAAAATAATAATTATTTATTAACAAGCCATAAACTTAATGAATAAGAGAAACTGAAAAATGAAAAGACAGTCTTTGGGGTTAAAATTGGAACGTCGATTGTAGTGTTCTCAGTGTGTTCCAGACTTCACTTACTTTTCTGTGTCCTGTCCTTCTAACTCAGTTCTGTTCTGGAATGGTCAATAGACATTTTCTATAAAATACACCCCAAGTATAATTCTCACAGACTGTTCTTCTGCTCCAGTCAGCCTCTTGTATATAGATGGCTCAAACTTAATCTTGCTCTCTAATGAGCTCTCTCTTACCTAACTTAACCCTTCAGAATCTTCCACATGTAACGTGCTAACTGGTAGGAAATATAATTAACTTTGTTATTGGAGATGTTAACCTCTGCAGGGTAGGGTATCCCTACTTTTAAGAAAGAATCTAAGTCTGGTTCCTCAGTTTTTATAATAGAATTCAGTTTTATGATGTGTTCATCTGTTATCTAAAGCAGGTAGATTTTCTTTAATCAGCTACGCAAAGTATCTTTATCCCAGGCTTTCCCCAGAGGGAAAGAGCTATTGTAGAAACTTTACTGAACCTGAAACTTTCCAGGGAGAGAGGTTCTGGAACAGACTAGATGATACTCATTTGTTCCTTCATCCATCCATTCGTTCAGTAAGTCTTTATTGAGCACCGGGTCTATGCCAGGCACTGGGAATACTACAGTGGGCAAGGCACATGAGGCCTGGCCCTGCCCCACAGAGCCCACAGTCTCAGGGAGTGTTCCTTATTTCTTTTGACATTAAATTGGACAAACAGAAAGTGATCTTGGGAGAGCTAATATTATGGAATAATTAAACTGTGAGCTTTTGAGTCAGATAGCAATGAGTTTGAATTTTGACTTTTTAATTTCTAGCTATGTGACTTTGGGTAAGTGAGTTAACCACTTTGAGCCTCAGTTTCTTCATTATAAAATGGCACCTGTATTACAGCCTTCTTAAGAGAATTAGAGAATATATATAAAGTGCTTTAGCACAGCACTTGGCATGGTGTATTTGGGGTTAGTTATTTTATTCTTATAACCTGTTTGGACCTGAAAACAAATAAAATAATCTTGTTAAATAAATGCTAAAAAGTGTGGACTCAAAAAATATGTATATATATCCTCAGCTCTGAGAGCACCTGGCTATACTTGGGATCTAGAAAGACTGCTAAGATTGTGTTTGAGGAAAAGTCTGGAAACAGGTGAAGGTATCCAGGAACAAATCTGGGAGGATTCTTATGATGCTCTATACTGGTCTCTTGCACGATGCTGAGCTTCTGGAGCCAGGGGCTGTGTCTCTGTCAGTGTATAACCCTACCGTGGGTGTTGTGGTAGGCCCCAAGCATATCTTTGTTGAGTGACTCAACTGAAGACTTTCAAGGAAACTGCTAGAACCATCTCCCCACCATGGGTTGTTGGAACTTGTCCAGGCTTAGGTTTCTTGCAGCTGACCTCTGCAGCTTCACGGCCCTTCCCTAGCCTGAATCCGTGGATCTGATAGATTCAGAGAGGGCAAGGTAAGACGCTTCTGTGCATTGCTCTTGTGGATCCTCAACCTGTGTTATGAGGGGCATTTGGCTACTCTAGTCGGTTCCTGGGCAGTTTCTTGGGAATGTTTCCTCAATTGTGGGAATCCCCACCTGAATGTCTACTTCACAAGTCCTCTCCCCAGCATATTCCTGCCCCTTCTTGGCCTCAAACTCTGAACAACCGCCTTACTCAGAATGAGACATCTCTTAAAACCTCTATGTTTGAATTCTTCTCTCAAATACCTTGGTGGTCCTTGGTTGAGTCAAGTAAGGAATGTTTTTCTGTGTTTGAGTTTATCTGTTTTATTTTTTTAAACAGGTTCTCTAATTGAACAGCTAACTACAGAAAAATATGAGTGCATGGTGTGCTGTGAACTGGTTCGCGTCGCTGCGCCGGTGTGGAATTGTCAGAGCTGCTATCATGTGTTTCATCTGAACTGCATAAAGAAGTGGGCGAGGTCTCCGGCATCTCAAGCAGGTCGGTCGTTTCCCTCCTCTAAGTAGTTATTCTCACCCATTTGATATGTGCAGGTTTTAAACTTAGCTTTAAAAATACTGTTTAATTCCTCTTGAATATTTCATCTGCAGGGAGGGTATGTTGCCTTGATCACATGTTTCAGATGACCATTATTAAGCTGCAAATCTCAAATAAACCAGCTAAATATAACAATATTAAAATAAATTTAGGGTACAACAAAATCAGTCACTTTTACAGAAAATGGTAGCTTTTATCCAAGGAGCAACTATAAAAAACATTTCTTGTGTAATTTGCTTTAGAAAATTTTTAGAAAGCAGTTGTTTAATTTGGCCTTAGGATGTTGGAGTTGCTTTGCCTTTGGCAGATATGCTCCGTAGTATTTTATGGGCTTGTCTCAAAGTATACTAGTGTTTATGGATAATGCAAGTGTTATTAATAATACATTTTCTGAACTGTGGTTCTTCTAATTTAAGACATCTGGATTTTCCTGCATGTACTCAAATATTTTATCCTACTTTTTTTTTTCAAGCCAAGATTCAGATAACGTTTACCTTGGTATTAGAAATAATAGAACATTCTCACCACAAAATGAAATGGTAATTATATGAAGTGGTGAAGGTGTTAGCTAACACTATGGTGGTAATCATATTGTAATATATAAATGTATCAAATTAACATGTTATACACCTTAAACTTACACAATGTTATATATCAATTATATCTCGAATAAAATAGAACAAAATGGATACCCTCTTGATTCGCTATATCTAAAGTCCTTATGCAGTATTTAAGCCCAGATGCAGTATGTAAGCAAAGCATTCAGTATTGTGAATTTGTTTCTTAAATGTCTGATTTCCTTAACATGGGCATTGCTACCACTGTTTCAATATTATGGCTTCCTATATAGATTTAAATTTTTAAAAATTACATGTGCTTTTGTAAGGAAATTATTTTGGTTTCCTCTCATTTTTCTTGACAGATGGCCAGAGTGGTTGGAGGTGCCCTGCCTGTCAGAATGTTTCCGCACATGTTCCTAATACCTACACCTGTTTCTGTGGTGAGCTTTTTTGCATACCCTGGAGTCTGTTGCACTTGGTGCATTGTACGTCAGTTCCCAGCCCAGGAGAGGTGGTGTGCTGGGCATGTTTCAGAAGTTACTGATGAGACCTCAAAGCTACAGGGCTCTGCAAGACATCATACGCACGTGGTCCATCACACAGCTAGGCCTTTGTGCTCTTGGCAGGCTGTTCTGGAGGTGGGCCTTCCCATCACGCCCACCAGGCTCATGCTGCTTCTGAGCTGTGGTGCTGATGTCCTTGGTCTTAGCTTTAGAATAGAGCTGACCAGATGGCAGAGACGGGTATGGACATGGGCTTCTTCTCACCCCTAACCAGCAGCTTTGATATTCTAGATTTGAGCAGCATGAGTAAGGAGTAGTGTTGAAGGGTACTTTATTTTAATCCAAGAAATCAGTCATTGGTCTTTACAATAACAAGATATTTTCTATAAGCCAGCATTACAAACTCTATCCTTGTGCCTGCCCTCTTTATGGAATACTTCCTGTTTTTCAATAGCTTGGTTCCTCTATGTGTTAGGAAAAAAACTTTCTGTGATCCAGATGCTCATTCCTGCTGCTAGCCTATTTCCTGCATGTCTCTTTTTTTTTCCTCCCTGCCTGCCTGTCTTTTTTTTGAGTATGTTTGAGGAAGATTAGCCCTGAGCTAACATCCGATGCCAGTCCTCCCCTTTTTGCTGAGGAGGATTGGCCCTGGGCTAACATCCGTGCACATCTTCCTGTACTTTATATGGGCCGTCGCCACAGCCTGGCCTGACAGGCGGTGCGCCAGTCCACGCCCGGGATCCGAACCTGCGAACCCCAGGCCCCCGAAGTAGGGTGCGCAAATTTAACCGCTTCGCCACCAGGCCAGCCCCCTCCTGCCTGTGTTTTAATGGCTAACCTTCACCATCTGATGGTTGATTTTTCAGATTTTATTTCTTAACTATCTGTCTCCCTCCTTGAACCGTTGCATTTTTGCTTCTGTCCTCATAACCTGACTAAAACTGTGTTCAGAGATCATCAATGACCCCTTCCTGACTAAATCCAGGGCTGATTTTGTAAGTTCCTAACCTTTTTTGGCAACATAACAGCCCTTGATGCTTTTGCCCATTTTCTTCTTGAAGTGACTAGCTCTTCCTGCTTCTTTCTTCGTGCTTTCCTTACTTTTCTAACTAATTTGCTCATGTTTCTCCTCTCCTGTTACTTAACTAGCAGCTTTTACCAAGAGTCGGTCATTGACCATCAGCTCTTTAACTTCTAGACTGAATCTCCTGGTGAATTCAGCTGTCTAAAGTGTTCTTGCCCTTCTTCCCTTTAAGTCTTCATCCACTGTATTATTCAAGACCTAACCCCAGGTGTCCTCTTCCAAAGGAGCTTCCCTTTCTTATTCCCTCTGCCACGTTGGTGACACTTTTATTCAGAATCTGTTGGTCTTATATGTTTTATTGCCAAAATCTGAGCCTTAATAGATACTAAATTAGTATTAGTTGAAGAAATGAATATTCTTGAATGTACTACGGGCAAGGCAGCATGAAACTGGAAGCAAGAGGTCAATGGAGAATTGGACAAATAGGACCGATACCAAGGCTTGGTTACCCCATTTTAAATGATTTTTAAATATAAAGTACCACTATAGAATTAAAATTCTTATTAAACCTTCACTGACAAATTAGATATGAGACCCTAAGAAGGTATAAGAATATGGGGTAAAGCTTAAGATGATCTGAGTAAGGTAAAATGGTATGAGAATGTGAATAATGACCTTATTCTACCTGATGACTTTGCCCCACTCTACTCTTCCAGGAGACCATTAATTTAATATATTTTATTGAGAACTTATTGATGTACCTGGCACCATGAAGAAACAGAGGGGAATTAGACTATTTATTGACTTTCCAGAGCTTACACTCTTAGAGTTAAGGCACAATTAGCTTGTTGTTCTAGTAGAAGTACCAAATGCTGTGGGAGATATTTGGGGTGAAGTTATGACTTCTGGCTGGATGATCAAGGGAAGCCTTCATAAAGGAGGTAGAATTGAACTGGGCTTGAAAACTAGTAAAATCTTGGTAGGAGGAAAGATTTGTTGAAGAGAATAGCATAAGCAGAAGTTTAAAACAAAGAAGGCTTAGGATCTGTTGGGGGAAGAGGGAATCCTCTGATTGTGGAGCCCAGGATCTGTGAAGGTGGAGGAGAAAGAAATGATTGGAAAGGCAGGGCAGACTTCTTGTTGCCAGGCCTAGACCTTGGGACTATATTTGGCAGCTGTAGGAAGCCACTGAGGGCATCAGTGTGATTCTTTATGAAGTTTAGTCTGGAGGCAGTCAGTAGAATATTTGGGGGCCTAAACAGTTTGGGGACTTGTAACAACCCAGGTGAAGAATAATAAAGGTCTGTAATGGGTGTTAGAGTGGGACAGAAAGGAAGAGGTACAAGATCTCAAAGGTAGGTAGGAATTAACAGCAGTGGGAAAGGAAAGAACCCAAATGTGACTCCAAAGTTTCGTGCTGTTGGAAGTGGTGACACCAAGGACAGAGAGGGCAGGTCAAGAGAACCGGGTTTGGTGGGAACAGTGAGTTTAGTTTAGAAATGTTGAGTTGGAAGATGAGTAAGACATCCAGTGAGAGATGTCCTACGGGGACTTAGGAACAATGGAGGAAGGATCAGGTCTCGGGGATGATATTTGCAGTTGAGAGTAGTAAATGAGACACTAGTGGGCAAGAGAGTAAGGGGTGAAAAACGGTCTAATGCAGAACCCTGCGGAAAGAGAAAAACCATCATTTAGAGACGGAGAAAAGAGGTGGAGCCATTGAAAGACGGTAGGAGAAAACCGGGGCACTGTATTGGTTAAGAGGGAAGATGCTGACTTTGGCTATAGATGTGGGTAGTTGGAGGTGACTGTGAAACCCTGAACACAGATGTTCTTCAGGCAGTTGGACATAGGACTGAAACTGAGGATTCGGGGGGGGGGGGCCAGAAAATGTGGATTTGGGAATCTTAGGCCCTTAGGTGTATTGAACCTCACCTCATGAGTGAGATTTCTGAAGGAGACAGGCTAGAGAGAGAAGCAGAGGCCAAGGGCTGGGGACAGGCTGTCATTTAGGGTGTTAATTGATGAATTCCTCAGGGCAAGGAGTCCTGTGCCTCAGTGTTCTTCTTCCTGCCTCTGTGCTGAATTCATGGAAGATGCTTACTACAGATCTGCAGAGTGACATTGATTGTAAAATTATAGCCCTTTTATGCCTCCTTTATAGCTTAGAATAGAGTTCCTATTACAGGGGACTTAGGTCCTTTCCATCTCTCACTCCTTCTTCCCCCCTTGCTCTCTTCCGTTGTTCCTTCTTTCTGATTCCCATATCAATTCGAGGGCCCATTTACAGAAGGCTTATCTTGTAGGGTTTTTTTTAATCTTAGATTAAATGTGTACATCAGTCAAAGTGGCATTTTCATAAGTAAAAATGACTTTTTATTTATCTGTTCCAGGTAATCCAGAATTTAAGATTTATCATACTCAGTGAAGCTTTTGATGAAGCATTACATTTAACTTTTTATTTTAGGGTGTGGAATAATGTATTCATTGAACTAATGAAAACCACACTGATGTTTCATGCTGTCTAGCTCTATTATGTTATTTCATTAAAGTCTGCGATGCAGTTGAAGTTTGTACCATTGACTCTCTGATCTGATGTTTTAGGCAAGGTAAAGAATCCTGAATGGAGCAGAAATGAAATTCCACATAGTTGTGGTGAGGTTTGTAGAAGGAAACAGCCTGGCCAGGACTGCCCACATTCCTGTAACCTGTAAGTTGGAATGCTAGACCCCTGGGGATTCCTGGTGGACACACTTTGCTCATGGCTCTGAGTACACATATCTCTCATGTCACAGGACGAGGTGAAAGGCAATATGGTATCCTTTACTGAGCACTTACCCTCTGCCAGGTGCTCTGCAAAAGTTAGCTCATTGAATCCTTACAACAGCCCAGTGATGTATAGATAGCTATCTCCATTTTACAGATGAGGCTCAGAAAGGCCAAGCATCTTGCCTCAGGTCACAGAGCTAGGACATGATAGAGCTGGGATTTCCAAAGCCAGTGCTCCTCTCACTGTATTACACTGCTGGCTTCTCAGACGAAGAGTTTCCCAGCAACATCCGGGTCCAAGAGAGTGTATAGGGACAGACTTCTGTCTGGGGAAAGGCAATCGTCTAGGGCCCTGTTGAACAATATTTCTGGATTGTGACTCCCTTCCCTACAACAAGTAGCCAGCATTAGAATGTATCCAGTCAGCTTCTAAATCATAAGAGAAATGCAAAATAATAAACAGTTGGTCAGTTACAAATAAATCTCTACAGACTTTGACCTCAGACAAAGGTTTAATTCCTGAGTTTGAGTCACTTAACAGTTGTGTGACGTGGGATAAGTTACTTAACTTCTCTGAGCCTCAGTTTCTGCACCTGTTAGATAATAATGATATAAGCAGCAATACTTACAGAGTTTTATGAATATTAAATAAATTAACGCACCTAAGAGGCTTGGTACATAGCCTGGCATATGGTAAGCAGTCAAAAAATGCTAACTCTTGCTTTTATTACCCAAACCTAGAGTAAAATAGACATCAGAGTGTTATCTCAGTGCTTCTGCTGTGTGGAGCAGGGGTAAATGTTGGACGAGGCCTGTGATCAAGACGTGGGGGTGGTGCTGGGGGCTGGTCAGTGGGGAGAGCTGCTCAGACTGGCTGAGCAGCATGGCTTGCCATCTGCTGGCAGTCAGCCTCTCTGCGTTCTTTGACTGCTTCCATAGGTCCTGCCTCAGAACCCAGGGACTCCTCTATTTAAACTATTCCTTCCCTCTTAGTTGACATTTTAAGTTAATTCAGTAACAAGAAATTAACCCTCTGCTTCAGCTGTCTTTCTGAAGCCTTCGGCAGAAATGGGCCCCTGTCATGCCTACCAGAGAACATCAAATAGCATGCAGATCAGAAGGTCCACACCATGTCTGAAGGAGAGAAGCCCTAAAACATGCTCCTCCGTGGCTCTGGAAATCCTCCTCTTGACTTGGGAGCCGTCCTTTTACTCCTATCAGGACCCTGAGATTGCTGAACTCCATACCCGATAGCACCTTCCTTTCAAAAGAAAGCTTTGGCTTTCCCTCGGTTATACTTATCAGGGCTCCAAAGCCACAGTTGGCACCTCTGTCCTTCTATTTTGGCTTGTTCTCATAGATGATAGGATACTCTAGAGCAGTCGTTCTCAACCCTGGCCACACGTTAGAATCATTGAGGGAGCACTGTAAAACACCAGCACTCAGTCTCTACCTCACAGCAGGTGAGTCAGCATCTCTGGGGTGGGTCTGAGCATCTGTAGTTTTAAAAGCTTCTCAGGTAATTCTAATATGCAGCCAGTGTTGCAAACCACTGCTCTAAAGGTTGTGAAAACCAGGGATTAAGCCCAGGCCTTGGGGATATTTGAAATAACCTGGAATTATCCACGCCTGACCAGCAGTTTATCTAGCAGTCTAAAGTTATTTAAATGTGCAGCCATGAAAATAGTTTCAGCTGAAAGGGTTGAGGCATAGCATGTGAAATGTAACTACTGAATAATGATACTCACCTTTAAAGAAACGTTCTTAAACTTATGTCTCCTTTGGATTCTGTCTGTCAGAGTGGGGGACCTTAGAAGACTAGGCACTTGTTCCTGGATTGTTTTCAGTGTATAAAGCTCATGTAAGAATTATCACAGCTGATTTAGGAGTCACATAAAAAATCCAGCTGGACCACTTTATAGGCATATGTGGTTTTTATACCAAATTTTATTACCTATTTGATTTGTAGGTAATGATTAATCAGACTTGGCTCTGATTAGTGTTTCATTCCCAAAGGATTGTGATCTGCCATTGCTTAGAATGCCTCCCCACCAAAAAAAGTTGTCATAGAAGGTCCCAAAGTATTTTAAGTATTTCTGAACAGGTGTGTAATTTACCAGGGTGTCTGCCTTGAAGAGGGCAGTATTTATTTGAGTATGTAATTCCATTTTGTAGTTTTGTACTTTGATCTCTTTATATCATAGCCCCTGTAAAAAGCGTTCTGTTCAGAGGTCTGATTCTGACCTCTAGCACATCGCCAAGCCCAGCTCTTTCCACGTGTCCTTCCGCTTTGTTCTCTGCCTGTGTTACTTACCAGCGGGCCTGCCCTCACATCAGCATTGCTTTCACTGTTCCTGTTGTTAGCCCGTCGCCTGGTTATTACCTCGCTAGCTGATGAGAAAATGTCTATATTCTCATGGACCTAGAAGATTTGAGCTCTGTTACTTTGCTCAGGTTCTGATCTAAAGGACTCCCTTGACCATCCTGCCATTCAGGTGAATGGCAAGCTGTTTTCATCCCTGCGCACTGCACTGAGTGAACCAAGACCACATTTGGAAATGTCATCTTTGACTGTCAGACCCAAATAAAGCCAGTATTTTGACTTGGGCTTTACTTTTCTCATTAAATATTCTAAGATGATAATGCTGTCGATTCTTTCTATGTAAAAACATTGTTAGTATCTTTAAATAGTTTAATCAACTTTAGGTAAATACTAAAATATTTCATAGTAGGTTTCTTTATTGCCGTAGTCACAGTGGGACCCAGTTGAGGCAGCTTTGTTGAGGTTTAGACATGTGAGTATGAGTTATTCATCGAGGCCTTTCTTTTGCAGTCTCTGCCATCCCGGACCTTGCCCACCCTGCCCTGCCTTTATGACTAAAGCATGTGAATGTGGACGGACCAGGTAAGTTAGAATGGCACTCTAAAGAAAACTTCAGTTTCCGTATTGATGATTTGTGTGTGAATGTCTAAAATAAAATATTAGGAAGTAGGTGTAAATAGTACTTATTTACTACTACTATTAATAAATAAGTGGTAGCTGTAAATAGTACTTTTCTGTAAATAGTAGTTTTCCTGTGCTGCCTTGATCTTTTGCAGTCTTCTAAGTGATTAAGAAGTTATATGCATAGTGAGATTACCCATTTCAGTTGAAATGCCAAGGTGGTGGGGACTTTTTTCTTAACCTCTCTAGTGGGTGAAAGACCCAGGAATTGAACCCAGGCCTGTTAAGGTCCAGGAGGTATCCAGGGACCATGTACCTGTGCCCAGCACAGTATTTGGAGTCTAGGAGGTTTTCAGTGAACATTGTTGAATGAAGGAATAAGTGACCCCAGAGTTCACTCTCTTTCCATTACAACACAAGTTGTCCTGCACCATCAGTACAAGGATCACTGAAAGCTACAGGGTACCTCTGAGGCTCACTAAGAGCATAAAATGATTTCTGAACCACAAGATGAGATGGGATCATGCAGATTTTCAGTGATATGCATTTGTTTAATGTTTACTGAACTTACAAGGGTAGCAGTGCAGTCAAGGGCTTTGGGTCTGAAAGACCAGGTCAGATCTGGGCTCTGCCACTAACTAGTTGTTAACCTGGGCAGGTTGCTTGGTCTCACTGAGTCTCATTTTTCTTATCATAAAGTAGAAATAGTAGAGTCTTCCTCAGTGGATTGATGTTAGCTATGATGCTGAGCAGTAGAAACTGATCATCTATGAATATAATAGTGCCTTTTAAAACAAAATATGTAGTTGACCTGGGAGTAGGGGATGGAATAAAACTCTCCTTGGGGGAGAGTAACTTCGAGCTCTAAACCTTTACCCTGGAGGGAGACCTGAAGACAGTTGTCCAGAAGCACTGGCCTCATATCCTTCTCTAACTGATAAGTCAGCAAAATCAGGATTTTTATTAGATCAAAGCCAGCATGATTTCCCGATCCTGAATCAAAGTCACATGTAGTATGTTATTAAATATTGCAGCTGCATAAAGTGCCTGAGTGCCACGTCCTGGGAGAATGCCGTTGTACTTCAATTCTGAGAATATACGTTATAACTATACCTCCCCACCCTCCCCACCCCCGTAGGTAAGATACGGGTGAGCTCCAGGCTCTTCACCTCCTGCGTGCTGCCTCCTGAGAACTTGGAGAAGAAATCACACGCAGCACATACTTAGGAATGGCCTTCAGTTCCTCACTTGTCAGAAAATAGGGGAGAGAGAAGGGCAGCACGGGAGATAAGGAAAGCAAAAGAGGAAAAAGAAGAAAGAGTGGAGGAGGGGAGAGTAATCGAGGAAATAAGGATGAAGGAGGGAAACAGAAAAAGTGGGGGGAATGAGGCGAAGAGAAAGGTTTAGTAGGTTTTGGGGGAGGGTTTGGGCTTCAGTGTTAGTTTAGCTGTCACACAAGAATGGAGTGTCCAACATTAGACTAATGCTATCTTTGCATCTACCATCTTTACAGGCAAACAGTTCGCTGTGGTCAGGCCATCTCCATCCACTGTTCTAACCCATGTGAGAATGTTTTGAACTGTGGTCAGCACCACTGTGCTGAGCTGTGCCATGGGGGTCCGTGCCAGCCTTGCCGGATCGTACTGAACCAGGGTAAGTGGTGAGCACGCCAGCCAGCAATGGTTGTGTGCTTTCCTGGAACCTTATTTATGGTTGTCTTGATGACGTGGATTCATCTCAAACCTGCAGTCATGATGACTCTCTTAACTCTGGTACCTTGGATAGAAAGAACTGGAGAGATGTCAATACTTGGGTGGTTTTCATTATTTTAGTTACATAATACCAGTATAGGTCATTGTCCTATAGAATTTGGACAATAGAGTTTATTTATTTTTTATATTTATTGAGGTAATATTGGTTTATAACATTATGTAAGTTTTAGGTGTACATCATTATGTTTCGACTTCTGTATAGACTACATCGTGTTCACCACCAAAAGTCTAGTTGCTCTCCATCACTGTGCAAATGCGTCCCTTACCCCTTTCGCCCCACCACCACCTTCCCCTCTGGTAGATCCATGTTCTCTGGATCGCTGTGTTTGTTTGTTTGTTTATCTTTCATGTATGAGCGAAATCATACAGTATTTGTCTTTCTCCCTCTGTCTTATTTCGCTTAGTATAATACCTTCAAGGTCCATCCATGTTGTCGCAAATGGCAAGATTTCATCGTTTCTTATGACTGAGTAGTATTCCATTGTGTATATATACCACGTCTTCTTTATCCATTCATCCATTGATGGGCATTTAGGTTGTTTCCAAGTCTTGGCTATTGTGAATAATGCTGCAGTGAACTTAGGGGTGCAGATATCTTTTCAAATTGGTGGATTCATGTTCTTTGGATGAATACCCAGAAGTGGAATAGCTAGATCGTATGGTAGTTCTATTTTTAATTTTTTGAGAAATCTCCATACTATTTTCCATAGTGGCTGCACCAATTTGCATTCCCATCAGCAGTGTATGAGGATTCCCTTTTCTCCACATCCCCTCAAACACTTGTTATTTCTTGTCTTCTTAATAATAGCCATTCTGACAGGTATGAGGTGATACCTCATTGTGGTAGGCAGTAGATTTTTTTTTTTTTTAGGGAAGATTAGCCCTGAGCTAATATTTGTTGCCAATCTTCCTCTTTTTTTCCTCTCTCCCCAAAGCCCCAGTACATAGTTGTATATCCTAGTTGTAGGTCCTTCTATTTCTTCTATGTGGGACGCTTCCTCAGCATGGCTTGATGAGTGGTGAGTAGGTCCGCACCCAGGATCCGAACTGGCGAACCCCAGGCCGCCGAAGCAGAATGCACAAACTTAACTGCTATGCCACCGGGTCAGCCCCAGTGGACAGTAGATTTTACAATGATATTTAAAAGTAACTGCTTGGGAAGGACACAGAAAGGCCCAAATAATATTGAAAAAGAATGAAGTTGAAAGACTTAAACTACCTGATTTCAAGACTTATAAAGTTACAGTAATCATAACAGTGTGGTTATTGGTGTAAAGAGAGACTAGATAAATGGAAGAGAATAGAGTTCAGAAATAGACCCAAATAAGTACAGTCAGTTGATTTTCAATGAAGATGTTAAGTTAATTCAATGAGAAAAGGAGAGGCTTTTTACAAATGTTGCTATAAAAACTTGATGTATGTATGAGAGAAAAATGAACCTCAACCCCTATCTCACTTCTTATATAAAAATTAATTCTACCTGGATCATGGACTTAAATGTAAAGCCTAGAAACGTAAAACTTCCAAAAGAAATTATAAGAGAATATTTTCATGACTTTGAGGTGAAGCAAAGATTTCTTGGACAGAGCAACAAAAATACTAACCATAAAAGAAACAAATTGATAAATTGAACTTTATCAAATTTAAAAATTTCTATTCATCAAAAGATACCATTAAGAAAATGAATAGAGGGCCGGCCCCGTGGCTTAGCGGTTAAGTGCGCGCACTCCGCTGCTGGCGGCCCAGGTTCGGATCCCGGGGGCGCACCAACGCACCGCTTCTTCGGCCATGCTGAGGCCACGTCCCACATACAGCAACTAGAAGGATGTGCAGCTATGACATACAACTGTCTACTGGGGCTTTAGGGGGAAAAATAAATAAATAAAATCTTTTAAAAAAAAAGAAATAGCCCTAGGAAATGTTTTGTGGTGTAAGGATTTTATGTAAGGAACTGTGCTGTATATTATTCAATATTCTCTTTATGGGTCCTCTTGGGAGAAATTCCTGTCTGATCTTAGTTCCAAGAATAGTTGTTTTTCCTCAAAGACTATTGATCTCTTTTTATCTTAGAAATCCTGTATAACTGACCCAATGTTTGTCTTTATTTTTTAGCTGTGATTCATTCTATATCCCTACCATTGTTTTTCTTTTCTTTTCACATCTTTTAATTTATGTTCTCTTGCTGCCTCAGATCCGTTTTGAGATAAGCAGAAGTATATACTGGTAGTTTGGTCTTATCAGTATGGATTGTGGTGTGGGAGAGTCCCTTTGATCTGGACCATTTTTAGCTCTTGATTCATACTGGGCTTTTACTCAGCTAAATCATCCAAATCCTTTTTGTACAAGTTTGTATGGATCCCAGTCTCTTCCTTTCTGTTTTTGTGTAGTTGATTTTTCGAACCCAGTTGAAGACTTTTCGTTTATCCACATTAAACAGCTAGCAAACTGTTGTGGCCATGAGTATAGTTTATTTATCTTCTTGAACTGTGATTCTCCTAGGATCTCTTTTAGCCTCTTCTAGAGATTTAATAAGCATTCCTTCTGGGTCTTCATTCATGTGTTGATAAAAATGCTGAACAGGTTAAGGCTGGCAGCAGAGACCCTCCTCCAGACTGTCTTTGGTTCCTTAATACTCTTCAGCCAGCTGTAACTCCACCCAATTCTTCTGTCTCCAGCTTGTATTTCTGTCTCTTGTGCCTAAGCAGAGCAGAGCTTTTTAATGTACTCAGATTATTTCCCAATTGATCAAGGGCTCCATTTTGTTTTTACTGTCACGATTTTCTGACCCTTGATTCTTTTTTTTTTTTTTTTTTTTGTAAGGAAGATCAGCCCTGAGCTAACATCCGTGCCAATTCCCCCCTTTATGCTGAGGAAGACCGGCTTGAGCTAACATGTATTACCAATCCTCCTCCTTTTTTTTCCTCAAAGCCCCAGCAGATAGTTGTGTGTCATAGTTGCACATCCTTCTAGTTGCTGTATGTGGGACACAGCCTCAGCATGGCCGGAGAAGCGGTGCGTCGGTGCATGCCTGGGATCCGAACCCGGGCCACCAGTAGCGGAGCGCACGCACCCAACCGCCAAGCCACGGGGCTGGCCCCTGACCCTTGATTCTTTTATTCACAGCTATCTGCTCATACCTCTGAAAAAAGCCTCTGTTCTATTCAAGCAGAAACTTAGCAAAGTAAAGCCTGCTTGCTGAAGTTCCCAGTTGCAGAGTTTGTTTACCAGTTCATTGATTCCACAAATATTGATTGCGTTTCCTGCATTTATATTAATTCATCTAATAAGTATTGAATAAATGAATGAGTTTTACAACAGGGAATGAAATTGTACATGTACTTACTGGAAGATGAAATGTATATTTTAAAAATCAAAAGTCTTGGTTATGTCGTCATTGATTTGAAGCTTCCCCCCCTTCCCATGTCTCAGTGAAAATTTTTGGTCTTCAATACAATATTTTATGAGCATTATTTCTAATGTTTTATTAGAATCATTCTATTTTATTTCTTACTAAATATGTGATTTTAAGATTTGACACGTTTTTACAATGTTGCATTTATTCTGATGTTGATTTTCTGTGTAAGTAGATATCTAAATTGTACTGAGAAAAAAGGAAAGCATCATTAGATCTGCAGAATTTCAGTGTAGTTTCTAGTCTTCATTTATTATGTAGGGCCAGGTATATTTGCATAGATTGATTTTAATGAGATAAATTTTCATTATAAACTGATAAAGTGGCACTTAGAAAAATTATGTAACTTGATGAAAATTAATCCTTTTCAGACTTTGTTATATATTAATATGTCAGAAACATAACTCCTTAAGCAGAACACACTTATTGCTGACCTCAAGAAATAAAGGAACCCATTATTTCTTGAACCACAGGAAAATCTATAGATGTTAGATTGGGTTCTCTAGTAAATAGAAGTCTCAAGTTATTTGAAACTCTTTACTCAGTGTGAATACTCAAACATGATTACTTCAAATTCAGCAGTAGTAGAATACAAATTAATAAGGATTTTATATTGTGTCAATTTTTGGATTTCATTTTAGCAGCATAGACTTTTTCCAAGCATTTTATGTGAACCCCAGTATTTAAAGTATTAAATCTGTGCTGCTTGGGTTGGAGTGAGGATGGGGAATCCAGTCATTAACTCCTCCACAACTACCACCAGCATATCCTCTATCCCCGTCTCCAGAGGACCCCAGGGGGCCTCACGATCCATGGTTTTCAACCATGGCCTTATGGACCAGCGAGTAGTCTCTTAATTTAGAGGGTTGCTTCACCTTACTGCTGATTTTAGGATGACTGCAGAGCCACCATGAGAAACTGACAGAGCCTAACAAGGCCTTTTTAATTTCTTCCTATGGTAAAGCTCTTAGGTGGACCTTAGAGCTGCTGCATAAGCCACGTTTATTTCTGCCTCAGGACTGATCAACACTAATGAATACCATTTTGTGTTTTCTTATAGATTGTTTGGAATATTTTAAGAACTCATACAGATGACTAATCTTTTGTTTTTGAAATTGTGTCCTCAAGTGTGCTACTGTGGCAGCACCTCCCGAGATGTGTTATGTGGAACAGACATAGGAAAGTCTGATGGATTTGGGGACTTTGGCTGTTTAAAGATATGTGGCAAGTAAGGTTTTACGGTTTTCTCAGTTAGAATAAAGCTGTGTTTTGTGCAACAATTATGTAATAGTCTGCTTTTGTTAACAGGGACTTGAAATGTGGGAACCATACGTGCTCTCAAGTGTGCCACCCTCAGCCCTGCCAGCTCTGCCCACGGCTCCCCCAGCTGGTGCGCTGTTGCCCCTGTGGGCAAACTCCTCTCAGCCAGTTGCTAGAACCTGGAAGTAGTGGTCGGAAAACGTGCATGGATCCTGTCCCTTCGTGTGGAAAAGTGTGCGGCAAGCCTCTGCCTTGTGGTTCCTTAGGTAACTAGTAGGTGTAACGTTGCCTTTAAAAAGATGAATGCAAATGTTTGGCAGCAGTGACTACTAAAGCAAAATAATATTAAATTCCAGTTACAATATCAGGGGGTTTTCTAAATATTATGATCAACTTTGTGTGGGCACTTTTTCTTTCCTCCTCAAAATATACTTGTGAAACCTCACATTTGTCCAGATGACCTCTTTCTGATTTGGGTATTTTAGTGCTCACGCAGGACAGTTGCAGTGAGATGCTATTCCGTGAGGGTTGTGATTTCTCTTAGTAGCCTACACTCGTATGAGCGCCAGATTTCCTTTACTAGTCCGAGGTTCAGCAGGTGTTTAAAAGCATTTTCATATAACAGGAGCATCTTAAAATAACTGTGGGTGAGATGTTTAAGAACTAAAATTCTAAATACAATAAAACTTCAGCCATTTGGACCACTCAAGAAACGCCCTTCTCTGTAGCTAAGTTTCCCATCCAGCTGAGGATAACACCTCCTGAGCATCAATTTGGATGGACATTTTTCTAAAATTTACATTCCCTTCTTTAAACAAAGGTTACTGAAGATAATTTCTTTCTCCTTATTGACCCAGAGTCTTCATTTTCCTGATCCTCAGTTATTGTGTTACGCTGAATAGTGATGCCCTCAGAGTCTGCTGAGGTTTCTCAGGTGAATTCCCCATAGCAATGTACGGTTTGAGTGGTGTTATTTACTTATTAAATCTTTTTGTTGTTTATTTTCTTGTCAATGCTTTCAATATACCTAAATGCCTATCTTTAGTGACTCTCCCTTTCTTCTGACTTTTGTGGCCTCTGATTCCTTGGATATAGAAACCAGAAGAGTTTCTTTGGAATTAGCTATAAAGTAATGGTCTGAGTTTCTAACTGAAGCGTTCTGGGGCAGTCCTTGGGAAATGTATGTGTACAGTTTTGCAGTGACGTGGCAACTTCTCTCCTGAGTGAGTGTTCAGAGGCTGCATGTTTAGAAAAATGAAAGTGAGCAACTGAGTCTGTATAAGAGAGGTTCCCCTATAACTAATGTGGTAAAGCTAGAATCTTTAGGTTTGGTTTCCATTTTTCTCAAAAGATTTCATGTTTCTTCCAAGTACCAGCAGGAACCAATAGGAGTACCCTACCTAATTCCTTTTTTTTTCAATCTGACTTTATATACAGAGGAGAAGTGCTCTCTTCTCATATTTTAATACATATTCCAGCTGCATAGGAAAATCAGTTGTCCGTTGGTTCTCTGTGTCTCCTGTGAAGTTGTATCTTCAGATAAACCCTGTGAAATAGAGATCAAGTGGCTTCTAAACCAAGAAGAATGGTAAAGATCTTCCCTTTTCAGAAAGCACATGGGTCAGTTTTGTAAGAATTTCATATCTAATGACCAGAAATCCTACCCTGAGGCCAGGATGCCTTGTTGGCAATGAGAGACAGAGGAAATGTGAAATGGGTAATGCAAGGAGACTTGAGCAAGAGAAGGAGAGTGATTGTTAGTATGAACAGACCTGGGGTGGGACAAGACCAGGTCAAGGAATTCGGGGGTGACTAGGCTGAATTGGATTGAGAAGCTCAAAGACAAGCCCGTGACTCTCAGGTTTATTTAGGCCTGGCTTGTCTGCAGAAAGCTTGTTTCGGCCTTTTGGTATCTTACCCAGTAGGAAATTTCCATCCTAGACATGTAGTGTCAGAGACTGGGTGGATATCTGCTTTCAGGATGGTAGCATGATGAGCTATGTGGACCCACTCTCCAGTACAACAAGCAAAGCTGGGGAAAACTGTGCAAAAGTAACCGTTTAAAGTCTCTGGAAATTGTCCTATGGGCATACATCAAATGGAGAAATATTTATTTTAAAAAATCTACTGAAACTAAGTAAGAACAGCAAGAGTCTGTGTCATTTGAGTTATGACCCACTCCTTCCCCGAAGCTCAGCTTAACAAAAGCTCCACTCAGGATGGGAGTGCCCAAGGAGACAGGGCTGCTTCTACCCTCAGTTGCCAGTCAGGGGTTACTGTGTCTCACTGGGAGGAGCAGACAACCAGCATTTCTCATCCCCTCCAACTCCAGGCTGAAGGGGCTGAATTTCTGAGAAGTGCAGCTGAGAGGTCAGAGGTTTCCTTCCTCCACACAGCCCCACCCATAGGACAGAGGCTCTACCCCAGTCACAGCAGGTGAGAATACTGGGGCCCCCAGCTGACTTATAGGGCAGAGGATCCACCAGAGGCTACTGTCCCACCTAGCACCCGGAGTAGTGGCTGAGACTTTATCCAGAGGGAGAGGCAGTCTATAAGAAAAGAGAGCACCAAAGTACTCCCCAAAGGAACTGACTTTAATTTAAAAAAGTGTGGGGAAGTTCAGGCCTCAGGGCCTATTAGAAAACAACAGTTTTTCTTAATTAAGAGCAACAAGATAAACTATAGGCCAGCTAGTCACCCAAGAGAACCAGGGAAAGAGATAGCTAAGAGGAGCCCTCCTGGGTCAGAACAAACCTCACAGACTTGCCTCAAAGACTACCCCTGCCCAGATTTCACTGGATCAATCTGCTGAGCAATTTACACTCTGAGGAATTGTCAAAAACAGTGGAGAAATCAGCCAGTAATTAGTGGAGTCTCAGGGCTGAGTGTAGTACCAAATGAGGCAGACAGCTTAAGAGAAAGGTCAGGGAAAGAGACGAAGAGAGCCCTGCTAAAAACATTGTCATCCCAGAGTGACTGTGCACACCCCCAAGGCTGTGCCTTCCAAACAATGACACCAACAGCTTCATATCATAGTGGAAATAGACTTCACCAAAATAGCCTAGACAAGTTACAAAACAAATAAACAAGCAAACAACAACAGCAACAACAAGCAGTGGGGAAAGGAGTAGTATCTAGAGTTGCTACAATTTATTACCAAAAATTGCCGGTTTCCAACAAAAATTATGAAGTGTGCAAAGAAGCAGGGGAAAAGAAAAAACACAGTCAATAGGAACTGTCTCTTTCCTGTTTCTGTTTTCTGTGAGAGTGACTAATGTCAGATTTAACAAAGACTTCAAGGTAGCTATTATGCTGTTCAAGGAACTAAAAGAAACTATGCTTAAATACAGGAAAGTATAAAGACAGTGTCTCATCAAACAGAGAATATCAATAAAGAGATAGAAATTGTAAAGAAGGACCAAATGGAAAATCTGGAGTTGAAAAGTCCAATAATTGAAATGAGAAATGCATTAAAGGGCCTCACAGATTTGAGCTGGCAGAAGAAAGGATTAGTGAATGTGCAGATAGATAGGTAGAGATTATATAATCCAAAGAACAGAGAGAAAATAGAATGAAGGAAAATGAACAGTGCCTCAGAGAAATGTGGGACACCTTTAAGCACACAATATATATGTAATCAGAATACCAGAGAGGAGAACAGAGCAGAAAAATATTTGAAGAGAGAATGGCTGAGGACTTTTCAAATTTATTGAAAAACATTAATCTACACATCCAAGAAGCTCAACAAACTCCAATAGAATAAATTAAAGAGATCCACACCTAGACACCTACTAAAAGTGCTGAAAGCCAAAGACAAGGAGAAAGTCTTGAGAGCAGCCAGAGAAGAATGACACATCATATACAAGGGAACCACCATAAGATTAACAGCAGACTTCTCATCAGAATCAGTGGAGAACACTACATCACAACCACAAGGCAGTGAAATGACCTATTCAAAGTGCTGAAAGAAAAAAATTGCCAACCAAGAATTTATATCCAGCAAAACTATCTTTCAAAAATGAAGATATAAAAAGAGAATTCATTGCTAGCAGGTCTATTTTATAATAAATACTAAAGGAAGTTCTTCAGGCTGAAAGCAAGTAAACCCAGATGTAAATTCAAATCCACGTGAAAAATTAAAGAGTAAAGGTAATTACATAATTATAAAAGACAGTATACATGCATATTTCTTCTTTTCTCAACTGATTTGAAAAGCAGTTCTATAAAATAATACATATATGATTGTATCATTAGGCCTATAACATATAAAAATATATCTGACAACAGGAGCACAAAGGAGGTGGGTGAGATCAAAGTTGTATTGGAGTAAGGAAATGATACCAGATGGTAACTCAGGTCCACAGGAACAAATAAAAACCAGAAATGGTAAATAAGAATAGTATTTCATTGTTTGAACTTCTTTTTTAGTATGAGTATTTACAGCTGTAAATTTCTATCTGAGCATTGCCTTCATAAGTTTTGGTATGCTGTATGAAATACTGTTTGTATAGGAAAGGCAGGATAAATACTTGCTTCTTTAATAGACATAACATTATATAAAGCAATAATTATAACAATGTATTGTTGGGTTTGTAACATATATACAGTCATGCATTGCTTAACAACAGGGATAATGTTCTAAGAAATGCACCGTTAAGTGATTTCATCCTTGTGGGAACATCATAGAGTGTACTTACACAAACCTAAATGGTATAGCCTACTACACAACTAGGCCATATGGTGCTTATCCTATGGGACCACTGTCACATATGCAGTCCATGGCGGACTGAAGTGTCATTATGTGGCGGACGACTCTAGATGTAACGTGTATAACAGTAATAGCACAGAGGAGGAGAGGGAGTAGAGCTACATAGGAGTCAGGCTTCTATATCTCACTGGAATTAGGTTTGTATAAAGCTGAAGTAGATTCTGATAAGATGCGTATGGTAAGCCCTAGAGTAACCATTAAGAAAATAACTCAAGGGGCCGGCCCCGTGGCTTAGCGGTTAAGTGCACACTCTCCACTACTGGCAACCCAGGTTCGGATCCCCGGTGCTCACCGATGCACCGCTTCTCCGGCCATGCTGAGGCGGCGTCCCACATACAGCAGCTAGAAGGATGTGCAGCTATGACGTACAGCTATCTACTGGGGCTTTGGGGAGAAAAAGGGAAAAAAAGGAGGATTGGCAATAGATGTTAGCTCAGGGCCGGTCTTCCTCAGCAAAAAGAGGAGGATTGGCATGGATGTTAGCTCAGGGCTGATCTTCCTCACAAA